TATGTTTTTGTGACTTAACAGAATATAACAGTCAGTTTAGCTTAGGCGCGATGTCGTATGCTCCTTCATAGGACATCTGATACGACATGTTGTTCCAGATGATGAGAACTTCTCATCTCAACATGTATCATTATAAGATAGGACTTCATGCTCAACATGTTCCTGTTAGCAAGTTAATACATCCTATCTAACATAATGGTGCCATATTAGTTTTACCAAACATAATACCAATCACATAATTTAGAGAATTAACAATAATTATGGTCATACAATGAGGGTTACAAGCTTCAAATCAAAGCACCGGTAGTTTTCCTTTTTTATTTACAATAATAGCGTGTCACTTATAATATTAATATTTATATTAAAAATTAAATACCTTTCACCACAGCCTAAAGTAGCAACCTTTGTGAAAATTACCTACATTTTATCACAGTCTTTTTACAACGGTTGTATATAGTGAAAAGAATTGTTATAACCTTACGTAGTGGAGAAGTACCTACATGTGATAAAGTATAAAACCATGATAAAAATACCATGATAAATTAGTCGTGGTTATCCCAACACCAGTTGTATATTTTTATTGATATACCTTATATATATTATAATTTTCACTATGTTAAACCAATAATTCTATTAGATGAGTTTATTATGTCATATGTGATTTGAGTGTTTTACCAACCTGTCACTAACTAAATAACCTTTCTAATTGAATTAGAAATTTATAATATAAAAAAATTAAGTTATTTTAGAAAACAACTTACATTAAACAAGGTTTTTCGAGCTTTCTTCCTTCCATTCTACGTAACTTCCTCCCTCTTTGAGAGTTAGAATTTGGTTTAATTCTTTTAGCTCTTCAACCAAAACTTCCTTCTTTACTAGTTCAATGAAATAATAGAGAATGAAGTGTTGGTTGAAGTGTCACAAGCATTGAACCTAATTCTAACACTTAAAAAAGCGAGTGAGATATAGAGAATGAAAGAAAAAAAGCTAGCAAAATATTGATCATTGTAACTTGTTATTCTAATATAACTTAATTTGTCAAATTATTAATTTCTATATCACATTGAAATGTTATATACTTAGTGAGTAGTTGGTGATATAAGTATTCCACATATGTTATAATAAACTCAAAAGAATATATCACCATGGTTGAAAGATAAAACTGTAGTGAAAGGTTGTTTAAACTATACAAATGGCGTCACATTTCACTACAATTATTTAAAACAACCGTGGTTATAAGTAGCACGCTTTCGAGTTTTCTACCACGAGCACTAGATTGTTGTTGTAAATAACCCACATACAATCACACCCTACCTAACAACGGTTGTTCAACTGTTAATATAGGTCTTTTAAAACTGTTATTATAGGTGTTTTTGTAATAGTGCATCATTAGATAGTCAAGTGCATCAAACCCTAATATCCTGGTTTGTATCTTTAACCGCTTTAAGCTTGACTTTAGTTATTGTCATTAAGGACTAGTTGTCATCATTATATATTAGTTTTCATCATCAAAAATTGTTGTCCTCGTTAAAGGCATATCACCTATAAGTAACCTGCAAAATAATGTTGCACATTCTCCCCCTTTTTTTATGATGAAAACGCATCTCTCAAGGAGGTAGTAAGAGAAACATATAAAAGTACTGGAGTAATCAAACTCCCCCTCAATTAATTAGAAAGTACACTTTATTCTCTTTGAGAGTATACTTCCCCCCCTTTGTCGAAATCAAAAAGACGGGTAAAGATGCAATGCAATAAAATTAAATATGGAAACATATGTAATTAAACATTTAGGAAAGGGAAGCAACATTGTTTATTTAATTAAGGAAAAAGTACAACAAATGCAAATTGCACGGAAAAGTGAATTTATCTGTGATAACTAGAGAGTTTTGTTGTTGAATCATTCAGAACATTACGTTCAAAAGCTCGTGAGCCGTTTCAGGACCTAGATTGGCCTGCACCAGCTAGAAACTAAAAAGTGCTTCACCGTCGGTGGCCGCATGAGGTGCCTCTGGCCTGCGAACAATCCACCTACGTGAAACTACGATGCAGTCATTACGAGTGGGGGAAATTGAGAAGTTCCTTGGATAATCTTGTTGCGCATGGTCTGAGAAGTCACTAAGAAGCAGAGGGAATAGATTGAGGATGATTTCTCATTGCATTAGTGGCTACAGCAGCCTACCGTTGGTCGGTAGCAGCCCGCTGTTGGGTGGTAGAACAAGTGGCTTTCAATGGTGTCATTGCTTGATGATTCTGGTGAAGAGAATTCAATTGCGAATTTGGTGAGATTAACTTGGAGATGTAGATTTATGCTTCGGTTGAAGGAGATCTAGATATGAAGTCAGTACATCATGATTATCGTAGGAGTTCAGTATCGTTTCCCACAAATGGCGCAAATGTTCTATGCAGGAACAAAATGATGATTAGAGAGATATAATTGGTTGTTGCGTCGTAATGGAGCTAAGTTTCCATGCCGTGGACGAGGTTAGCCTGTAAGATTAGTACTCCAATGTTCAAGTTAGTGAGGGAAATGCATAGTGTAATTTCAAATGGAGAGTGAAAATTATATCTAAAAATGGTGCGTTAGCTCCATTTTTTTACACATGTGCTAACTCCATTTAAATAGGAGAGTTTGTTAGCAACTGAAATATGAAAATAAACGTGAAATATAGACGGTCACGAGATAGATTTGACTGTGTATGACATGTTCTCAAATGAGTAGCGTGAGAAGGCTTAACATTATATATGTCCATTTTCATCACACTTTGCGTTCTTCGAGTGTTGGGCTTCACGCTCTATTATACCTCTGCAACCGACCCATAGTAAGTATGAAAAAAGATATTATATATTACTTTACATATATATTATTCATAATAATATAAATTAAAATAAATTAAAAGAATTGAAAAATAATATAATTGTTTTTAAAATTTTAAACTGAATAATAAAGAGTATGATAAATAATGAAACAACAATGTTTTATTATTATTACAAAATTTGTTATAATCTAAAACAAATCGTTCTTCAAAGTAAATTAAAAATTGGATGGAATCATCTCACCACACGTTTTGGTAATTGTTTGTTGGGAAGTGAACAAAGTTTGAGGCCTACTAACTATTTTCTATTTATGTTTAAATAGTCAATTTACTAATCCATTTTAAAAAAAATATTTATTTGATTTGTGTGCAGGTTTTTTAAATATATTAATTTAATTGTTTTTAATGATGAAGTAAAAAAACTAAGGTTTAAATATAAATTATAATATATAAACAATCATATAAATTAAAAATAATTTTAAAAAAAATAGCAAATCTTGTTTCCGTATCATAAATGATAAGTAATATATTGTTCGTCGTATAAAAAAAGACGTGTCACGACACTCATGAAATATGAGATTGTTCATTCTCAGGCGCCTTTTTTTTACTTTATTATTCTTGAATATCTTTTTGTCATATACCTTTAAATTAAATAATCTTACCGCTGAATAATCGATGATGCATCGTTATTAAAATATTTTTAAAACAATAAAGACAATTTTAAAAGAAGAAAAAAAACTAAAATATGATGATGTAAATACCAAAATTTTGGAGTATTTAAATTTAATTAATCCAGTGAAAAAAATTATTGGATCAGACAACATTAAGTAATCTGATAATGGAAAAAACTGCATAACTAGATTACTTAATTGAATGTGTTCTGATTTTACTGATGGGTGCAATTCTCTCAATTCTCACTTGTGGATCGAATCATTTGAAAGTAAAATATAAAAATATAATATATATTTTTTTAAGCTCTAACTATTTATACAAGGATAATGAATTAGGATAATATATACTAGGGTGTGGATGTAAGATAAAATCTTTGATGATTTAAGCCCAAATTTTAGTCCATATTTCTGCTTGCAAAGTCCATTTTTGAAACCAATGACGTGACCCGGTGACTCTCTTTTAACCCATTGTCATAATCGTACCTATGCTACTTAAGAAACTATTCCATCTTTTCTTATAAATTATTTTTGGGCCGTTTTTAATTATTTTAAGTTTTTATTACAAATACCTCAAAAAAATAACGTGTCGTAGTGTCCAACATATATCAATTGTCGTTGTATGATACGTGTAGAACACTTGTCAAAAAATCAGATAAATGTCAACAAAAAAAATCTAACAAATATTTCAAAAAATAGGTTTTTTTAACTAACACTTTGAAACGAATTCATATATTGTAGGTCGTTAATACAATATATGTTAAATAATTTAAATAAATATTTAAATATTTTTATTGCTTAACACGTCTTATATATTTTTGTAACAATTTTCATATGCAACTGAATTTTTTTATAAAATTAAATATATATCAAAACGATATTATCAATGAAGGATTAGAGGCATTAACTTTTTTTTTTTATTTATTTTTTTTTTTTTATTTATGAATAAATATGTAAAATTTTAATATTATCACATATATAATAGTGTTAGTATTTTAAATTTTTGAAATCATCAATATCAAAGTGTCAGTGTTAAGTTGTATCTCGATATATATGTCAGAGTTCGTGCATCATAGTTCATATAAAAATTATACTATTTTATGAAAATTATTTTAAAAATTCAATTTTTGGAACATGAAGATAAAATCACTCTTTTAAATCTAAAACAAATAGACTTTTTGTACGAAAAAGATGTTATATATTGTTTAGAGGATTCTGAAAATTCAAGCACTCGAGAATCAAATTTCATGGATGTAATGAATCAAGATCCCATTGTTAATTCTGAAGAGGGTCCGAACAATAATATAAATAAAGCCTTTTTATCTAGATGTTAGGAAATTTTGGGTGAGCAAGAGGATTCATGTGAAATCTCTGAGGATTCAGTTTTAAATTGCAATTTCTTAATCCCATAAGAAAAAACTGAAATAAAGAGATTATATATGCTAAAGAGTATATATGCTACCAAATCCAAGGCTGGCTCCTACAAGCCTACATGATGAAGTGCATCTTTTGGAATGCAATGGGCTTAGCCAATGCTCCAACAAGATTGGCTCTTAAAGCTATACTCTCTAAATATACATCTGACTTCTGTTTTCTCGCTGAACCTTGGATGAGGTTTGAAAATAATCCCTTCAAATTCTTTGACTCTTTAGGATTTAAGCTCCTTTGTTTGAATAATAGGAACAACTTACTTCCTAACCTTTGGTGCCTGTGTAAAAAAACTTACGATATTATTTAGATCTCTAATCAGTTTGTTGTGTTAATAATGACACACTATTCTTTTCAATTTGGTATAGCTGTAATTTATGTATCCACCTGCCATCTCAAAAGGATGGATCTTTGGTGGTCTTACTATTTTTCTTGGGACTCACTCTCTTCCTTGGCGCCTTATTGGGGATTTTAACTCCATCTCAGGTTCCAAAATTTTCTAGACACTATTGGCATCTCTAGAAGCTGTTTTTCTTTCTTATACTTTGGAGTCCTCATCTTCAAGGATAAACCTAAGGCCAGGTATCTCCAGCATATTTCAGACAAAATGGTTAGGAAACTGTCCACTTAGAAGGGATTTCTCCTCTCAATTGCAGGCAGAGCTTTATTGGTTCAAAATATGGTTAAAAGTATGATCAATCATACAATCTCTGTCTATCCTTGGCCTATATCCCTTCTCAGATTTATTGAAAAAGCTTCAGAAAACTCTATCTGGAGTGATGATATTAACAAATAAAAGTTAGTAATAGTCGCTTGGAAAAAGGTTTTTTAACCCAAAACTCAAGGTGGCTTAGGCCTCAGGTCTCTCATTTGTTTAAATGAAGCATTGAATCTTAAGTTATGTTGGGACTTGAACACTTCTTTGGAGGACTGGGATAATTTGCATAGAGAGAGGACTATTTGGCCAACCAGTTTCATCAAACATCATATTCCATCTTCAATATGGAAAGGTATTAAACCTGGCCTAAACACTATCAATAGCCAATCCATTTGGATTCTTGGGGGTGGAAAAAGCATCAATTTCTGGGGAGATTCTTGGTGCGGAAGCCTTCTGGTTTCTGAATTGGATTCAAATTCCCTCCCTCCTAATTTCAATCTCAACGCCAAGGTTTGTGATTTCTGCAACTCCAATTCATGGAATATTACAGTGGCCTGGCATAATTTCTTCCCCTTCTTGAAGATATACTTCCTTCTATAGCCCCTATTATGAAAAATTATGCTTAGAGGATTTGGCATAATAGCAACTTGGATAATCTATATTTGAAAGAGGCTTATTCCTTTAAAACAGAACTTCTACCACTCTGTCTTGGGCTAAAGATATATGGTTGGTGGACATACCCCTTTCAAAATCTTTGGTTGTTTTGAGACTAATGCAAGACAAGCTTCTAACAGATGATCACCTTCAAATTAGAGGTTATATTTTGGCTTCTGTGTGTTATGTGTGTCACAAGCATGTGGAAACTACCACACTTCTTTTCTTCCACAGTGAATTATGGCATTTTTGCAATAGTAACATATCCCCGCAATGCAACTTGACTATCAAATATTCCTTTATATACCTCATAAATGCCATCTTGACTGTGAGAAACACTTTCAAGTTCAAAAACAAGACTTCTTTGTTCAACTCTATATGCTTGCAAATAATGTCTCAAGTCAATCTTACAAGATCCAACACCAAGCTCTCCTTTGGAGGTTCTTGGGATGATTTTTCCATCCTCAAAGTGTTCATCATTTTCATTCACCCTCCTAGAGGTTCTACCCTTAAAGAAGTGATTTGGTGTCCTCCTTATATGGATTGGATAAAATTCAATGTTGATGGAACTCACTCTTCCCATCCTTCTTCTGCGGGATGTGGCGGTATTTTTACGGATAATAATGGCTTTTTCATTCTTGGCTTTGCTAAACCTTTAACATGGGATAACTCCTTTCTAGCTGAATTAAGTGGTGTTCTAAAAGCTTTAGAGATAGCTAAAGTTAAGGGTGGCTCTATGCTTTGGGTTGAATTGGACTCATCAATGGTAATCAACACTTTTATCTCTTCTAATGTTGATTTTGTTCCTTAGCAAGTTAGAAATAGAGGGTTCAATTGTATTAACAATCTTTTTGGAGTGTCTCTCATAATATCACACATATATAAAGAAGGAAATAATTGTGCGGATTTTTTTGTTAATTTAGGCCGCACATCTATGTGAGTGTAATATCCTCTCTCAGACATTTTCAATGATTTCAAAATTAGGAAATATGTAGTATTTGTATATTGAACGATATCTCTCTATGTCTAGGTTGCATTTGTGAGTACAACTTCGTCATTAGATATGTTTTACATGATGTCAAACCTGGGAAAGGCTAGCACTTTTGTACATTGGACAACATCTCTATGTATTGTGGCACTCCTCTGTATTAAAGGTCTTAGGAGTCATTAAAAATCATTTTGAAATTGATCCAAGTCATTAAAAATAAGTTTGTGCATAATTTTTTGTTACATGTGTCGACACATCCATTTTTCAGGTCGACACATGCAATTCAGTTTTGAAGCTTCTAGCATCTGGAAGGCTCAGGTCGACACATGCATTGCATAGGTTGACACATACTGAAGTATTTCTGAAATTGCAGAAATTCTTATATTATGTGTCGAAACATACGATTTATAGGTCAACACATTTACTGTTATTTTAAAGCTTGTAACCTCTGACTTGTTTCGGTCGACACATACCTTTTTACAGGTCGACACATACAACTTAAATCAAATGTATGTGTCGACGCATACGATATATAGGTCGACACATACAGATTATTTGGGTCAATTTTATAAATCTTTTTTAATTCCGAATAAGTCCTTTTTGTCCTAAATTTCCAAAACTATAAATGCATCTTTCATGCATCATTCATAACTTGATGATACCATAAAATTAGCCTACATTTGCTTTTCATATTCAACCTCCAATCTATGCATACACACTAACATTCTATTATAATGATCTTCTGTTGGGTTGCCATCTAGACAAGGTTTGATAACGTCCAATTAGGTTCTTGTGTAGCCGAAGATATTGGGTTGATATTTGTAGGGGTCTTCATCCAAAAAAACCGCGGATTTGTCCTCCAAGATCATCGATTAATTTAGGGGTTTTCGTGCAAGACATTTAAGAGGTAATTGCAGACAAGTGAAATCTTTTGGGGATAAATAATACAAGGGATCCTTTGGAGATAAAGAACGAAAAGGAAGTAGCGAGCTAACGGTGGATTACAATTGAGGTCTTGTGTTGCAATAGTTGAAATTAACGGTGTGCGAAAGCTTTGGGGATAAAGCATGCAAAGGAGTAGTAAGATTCAGATAGTTAATTTGCCATTATTGTGTCTTGGTCTTTCTAAATATCAAAAGATGAGAAGGGGTTGAATCAATAACAAGCTTATGGTTTGTGGAGTTTCTCTTGAACACTTCTCTTGTATCAATTTTTTTTGCATCGTAAGAATTATCCTAATTCCATTGAAATTAGGCGCAGACGTACCCACACATGAGGACGAAAGTGGGGAACTGAGAAGACAAATTCTTGTGTCTCTTTTCTTATCTCTTTTACTTGCTTTAATATTGATCAATCAATTTTTCAAATAACATTGCGTCATCAATTGAGTTTTAAGTAATTTTCCAAATTGTTTTTAATTTACTTCAAGTGTTAATATTGATTATCATAACTTTTTATTATAAGGGCTTTTGTGTATCAACACAACTTAAAGGAAAATTTTGAAAATTAACTTGCACACCAAGTGTTTGACAAACTGATATTGGTTGTTCTTTGAATATTGCCATTGGAAATAGCTTTACTAGTAACTTGCTATAAACATTAAATAAATTGTAAAGTGATTCAAGTGTATTAATTCAATTGTCATTCTTATTCCATATTCTATTTTGTTCTTAAGTTTGCATATCCGAGTTTCCAATAACGTTCGTAAATATGACTTATTTTAAAAATCACTTTCGCTCAAACTCTTAGAAAATTTGTTTTTCAAAACTAGAATTTACTGGAATTTTAATTGGGTATCTATTCACCCCCCTCTAGATACGTTGTAATCGTCTAACAAGTGGCATCAAGAGCCCGGTTCATTCCGGCTTTGACACTCTTTAGGAAATGACTTACGAACCTAAAAGGGATTATAAATGAGCCCCAATTTTCACGGGAGAAAACTATAGTTATTAAAAATCTTGTATGTAAATTCATGTCAACTCATATGACAAAGGTGTTTGGGTAGCCATTCAAAATGGTCTAACACAGGTGACATATATTGTTGATGGTGCTACCGTACCAAAGCCTGAAAACTTATGGAATGAGGATGATAATAAGAAGTGGGAACATGATTGGAAAGAGAATAACATCATCGTATCCGCTCTTGGTGTTGATGAGTTCTATCGAATTTCCCATTGTCAAACCGCTAAATCTATGTGAGATGCTCTACAAGTTACATATGATGGAACTAATGATGTCAAACAAGTTAGGATTAATACACTTAATCAAGAGTTTGAACGCTTTCGCATGAAGAATGGTGAAACCATTACTCAAATGGAAAATCAGTTCTCGCATCTTATTAGTCGTTTAAATTTACTAGGTAATCCTATTGCTAATTCTATTGCTACAAATAAGGTTTTAAGATGTCTTAATAGGAATTGACAACCAAAGGTCACCGCAATCAAGGAAGCCAATGATCTTGCAACACTTGATCTCACCGCCTTGTTTGAAAAGTTGGAAGAACACAAGAAAGAACTCAATTGCTTGGACAAACATGAAAATAAGCTTGAAAAAAAAAAGGAAAACGTGGTCATTAAGAAGGAAATATTGAAGTCTAAAGCTCTCATGGATTCAAGTTCAAAGTCCTTAATGGAGGAGCTCACCAATGATAGTGATTCTAGTGATGAAGAAGATTCAGATGATGTACAAATGAGATTATTTGTGAGAAAATACAATCATACATTCAAAAGAATAGTGTCAAACAATACGAAAATAATCTTGTGAAGTTTATAAGAAAATCAACATCCTCTAAAGATGAAGACAACAAAAAGGATAAGGGAAAAGGTATATGCTATAAATGTGGAAAACTGGGTCATTATATACTGGAGTGTCCATCTCTTGCCAATAAGAAAGGAAAGTGTCAAAGAAACAACTATAAGAGTTCTAGAAAGGCATATGTTGCATGGGATAGTGATAAAGATGCCTCAAGTAATGAAAGCTCAAGTGATAGCGATGAAGAGGCAAACTATTGCTTCATGCAAATCAACGTTAAGGAAAGAAAAAGAGTGTAAGTCATTCTAAATATGTTAATATTGATAAGTTTCCATTTATAGAGTTAAAAATTTCTTTTGATAATCTACAAAATGAATCATTATGTGCTTCTAAGAAACTTGCTTCCAATGAAAAAGTTTTTACATACTTGGAAGCAAAGGTTGAAGAAACAAATAAACAATTTGAAGCATTAAAGTTTTATATTATGGATTGTCAAAAACATAGAGATGAGGATGAGTAACCTAGTCGGTTCGGTTGGGAAACTTGTCGGATTTGGAAACAAGACGTGAGTTCTCTTAAAACCAAAGTGGACAAAGCATCACAACCTCATGATAATTATTCCATTTATCCTTCAAAGGTTAAAAGGCCTCATAAAACTATAATTTGATTAAAAAGGAGTCAAATTGAAAAAGTAAAATTCATCATGAATTGTTTTGTCACTATTGTTGCAAGAAATGCCACACTATTGAAAAATGCAAAATTTGGTGCTTTCTAGTTCCTAAAGGCAATTTCCAATGGTTGCCCAAATACAACAATCATTTCACTCACTCCCAAGGACCCAATGAGAATTGGGTACCTACCACTTTTGTTTGATTATGCAGGTTGAGTGTCTTGATGCTATGACGAGAAAATAGATTCTCGATATTGGATGTTCCAGACATATGACGGGAGCCATCTCTCTATTCTCCGAATTTGTGGCGAAGAAAAAAGTATTTGTATCCTATGGTGATCACAACAAAGGTGCAATATTTGGAAAAGGTAGTATAGGTAATCTCTCAACTATTACTCTCTCAAATGTTATGTTAGTTGAAGGCCTTAGACATAGCCTTCTCAGCATTAGTCAATTGTGTGACAATGGATATAAGGTAACTTTTTCCAAAGATTGTTGCATAATAGAACATAACAAAAAGAAGGATTATATATTTAA